TAAGACCAAAATGGCTGGAGAGTAAGAGTAAGGACAACATAGTACAGAGTGAGGCTGGGCAGATAAACCAAGTAAAACTTTCTACAAGGCTCCTTGAGCATCCTTACAACATGATACTCCTGTGTAACATTAAGGTTTCGGCCTTTAACTTAAGGGCACTAGCAATGCATTGGGCAGCTACGTAGTCAGACGTGAGTTTGAAAGATATATATGTGGAGAGAAGCTCAAAACTGTGCGATGATAGAAATGGGGACACACCTTATCCAGGCAAGAGATGATGTTACCCTGACCTAGGGCCATGGCAGTGGAGATAGGGAACATTAGGCAGAAAGCACCTAGAAGGAAAAACCAATAGGACAGTGATGGAATGAATGCAGGGAAAGAGGGAAGTGTCAGAGATGGAACTTAGGTTTCTGTCTTGTGGAGGTATGTGGATGGCAGTGCCTTTGAGTGAGGGAAGAAATTTAGGAAAAAGACTAAGTTTGAGGCAGCCAGGGTTCACAGCTGGGAGGGATGTAGATCATGAGTTCAAGCTTGGACAAGTTGAGTTTGAGGTGCCATTGGGACAACCAAGTGAAAAGACCAAGGAGACAGTTGAAAACATAGGTCTGGAGGTTCATTTCAGGCTGGAGATCTAAATTTAGGAGTTGCCAGGCTTATAAGTGGCAGCTGAAGCCATGAGCTTGACAGAGATTTGTCCATGGGAGACTGGAGTGAGAAGAGAGGATGGCCTGGGACCACACCCAACGTAGTGCCTAGTGGGTGTGGAGAGCCAGAGGTCTGCAGTAAGGGTTAAGCCTGGCAGCTGGCAAGCTGACAGGTTCTCAGGCCTGGGTGAGTAGTATGGGAAGGTTGCTGGATAGATCTCATTCTTCACTGCGCCTCTGAAGAAAGAACAAGCCTACGTCATAGACAATCTTAAAAGTTACAGAGTGAACTGCCAGCCTGTTAGCAGTTTCTACTTGCTCTACTTTGTCTTGCTTCGGGAACATTTGCTTCCCCACTCCCTCAAGCTCCCAAAACCTCTTACCTAAAGAAATCTACTTCTGCTATAAAAACTGTGTGCAAGCAATAAACGGGGCCACTCTCCACCATCAGCGGGCAGTGGACCTCCTGGGCCAACTTTCGTCTCTGTGTCTTTCTTTTCTCATCTCCTCATCCAGCCCACTCAGGTTAACCCTCTAGGTGCCTGGCTGATGAGTCAGGTGGCCACCGCAGACGAGCGGGCCTCGCCAAATGGGGAAGCTGAGTTGAAAGGAGACCAGGAGGAGCACCTACAGAAGTAGTGGAGGAAAAGGGGCACTTGGTGTCCCAGAGCCAAGGGAAGTGTGTGTTCTCAGGAAGGAACGGTCTAGCACAGGGGTCGGCAAACTTTTGAGGTGGAAGAGCCGCCACAGTCAGCAATCTGCAGCTCACGAGCCACAGGCTCTGAAGTAAAATAGAAAATGAAAATAAAACTATCATAGTTTTATTTATATAATTTTTAAAGGATATTATTCACATAATGGTGATTATTTAAAAATATGTTTATGGCTCTTGAATAATTTTTAAATTGTTGTGAGGGACAGGATTGGCTGTTCCAGGGGTTGGCAAACTTTTGAGACAGAATGTGCCCAAAGAGCCGCATGTGGCTCGTGAGCTGCATTTCGCCGGCCCCTGGGCTAGCATAAAGTGCTGCGGAGAGGCTGAATGGGAGAAAGACATAGTTGTCTGTGGGTATTCCTGGGCTGGGGGTCCCCGCTGACCGTGGCTGGGCTGTTTGTGTAGACTCAGGGAGCCCAAAGCCATACTGGCAAGGAGAGTAATGTGAAGGAATGGAGCCATTTTTCTGACAAATCGGGTTATCTGTCTTATTTTGTACTTGGATTTTTGTACAGCTTGCTGCTAGTAGAGCAGAAGAGTTCCATTCAGTGGAGAATTTTCCCAAGTGAAAAATAAAGCAATACATGAAAATCCTACTGCATTGGTTTGTGTGTATTCCTCCTGAAAGCTGAAAGGGCAGAAGTGAACTATGCCATCTACTTTCCACAGAAGTTGTATGCTAAAATATTCCATTCTTATTGATATTTTGGCCTGATCTAGCATTTACTGAGACTCAAAAAGCACTACCCATAAAAGAAAAAAAATAATAAATTGGACATTGTCAAGAAGAGAAACTGCTGCTTATGAAAAGACATTGTTAAAAAATTAAAAGACAAGCCAGACTAGGAGAAATATTATCTATAACTATATCTACCTGAAATGAGCTTATATCCAGAACATATAAAGGACTCTTAAAACACAAAAATAAGAAGATACACAACCCAGTTAAAAGATGAGCAAAAGATTTGAATAGATATTTCACAAAAGAAGGTATGTGAAGAGCCAACAGGCTGATTCTCAGAAGCTTGGGAACTCCACCATCTCGAAGCCTTCACACTGGTCCGTCACCACAGCCTGAATGCTTTTCCCTGATACCTGCATGGGCTCCCTTCTCACCGTCTTCAAGCGGTGCCTGGCTTCTTCCTGTCAGTGCTGAGGGCATGCACCGTACTCATTTTCTCTCCCTCCTACCAGCTGCCTGTCCTGAGGACAGCATGGCTGTGTTCCATGCGGGTGGTGCAGGAACCAGCCTCCTGGTATACAGGCCCCTGTGTTGTTCCCTCCTACAAGGAAGAAGGCTGGCCTGTGACATCAACAGGATACCGCGAGACTTCCAAGGCTAAGTTATAAGACACTGCAGCTTCTGCCTAGCTCTCACTCTGGGGGAAGCCAGGAACCCTGTAGAGAGGTCTGAGCGGCTTCCTGTTCACATCCAACACTAAGTTGCCAAGTATGTGAGCAAGCTGCCCTGTGAAGACCCCCAGGCCCCAGGCAGACCCGAACCAGAGTTCCTAGCTAAGCCTCTCCTAAATTCTTGACCAACAGAAACAGTCTACGTGAAATAATAAATGTTTATTGTTTTAGCTGTTAGGTTTGGAGTGATTTGTTATGTAGTGATCGCTAACTGATACATGTGGAAAGGAGTAAGAAGCTCCCATCTAGCTTGGACCTAAGCAACATTCTGCTAACTACTTAGAAAGAACATATTTTGATCCCTCCCATTTAGAAGAATAAACATATTGTGTTTCTCCATCAGTTCTGAACTTGTAGGCAGGGGAGGAAGGAGGGAGTGAGGAGGAGATAGGGGTCAGCAGGCTGGAGTTATAAATGGGCACACTTTGGGGAAAGAAAAATGCTGAAAAGATAATTTTTAAGAAGCTTTAATGAATCATGTGTGATATAACCCACATTTCTGACCCCACCCAAGAAACTGTCAGCAAAAATATATGTTGCTGTTTAAACTCCTGGGTCAGGTTTGTGGGGAACCCAGTCATGTGAAAATTGCACACAGATGAGGGGCTGAAGCATGATTACATCATTTCCCCAAAGTTCACACCAAGAATGAGTGGCAGAGCTGCTGACCCAATGATTCTGGAACTACAACCTCAATCCATGTGCAATGGAAAGCAAAAGAGCACAAGTCCTTGGAAAAGAAAACCTTTGCTGATTGACAGATTTTTGAGGGCAAGGCTCTTAGGACCCTCCTCTGCCACCCCTGCCTGGTTTTCACTACATCCAAAATGGAGGAGTCTGGAGCTAAGTGCTTCAAGACCAACTCTTAAAGCCTTTGCGTACCCTGAAAGCATCCTTGAAGGTCCCTAGGGGAAGAAAAGGGAAGGACAACTCAAAGACAAACACCTGGCACGCTGAAAGAGCAGCCCCCAGTTCAGACCGGCACCAGTGGTGGCAGAAGGAGCCTGTGCGCCGGACTGGGGGCCACGGCAGTTGGATAATGATTTTTATCATCTTCTCTTATTCTCCTTTGGAACTCTGGCTACCACTGGCCAGTGACGGTCACAGTCCCTCAAACCTGTATTAGAAATGAAAACTGTGTAGGATGTTCTCCAAACAGATTCGGCAGAGACAGTGAGAGGCCTAATTAATTTTATTTTATTTATTTATTTATTTATTTATTTTTAGCTGAGCCATCCTGCCACCTGTTGGCAGCTCAGCTCGGGCCGGGACTCGAACCACTGTTGGTCAAAGCTCACACTCTTGAGCGAACTCTTAACCAACTGAGCCACTGGCCGGCCCAGGCCTAATTAATTTTAACAGGGGTAACGCTGGGGCTGGCCCAGCCATGTTGTCAGCAGACCCTAGTAACAGGGCTTTTATTTCCTGCCATGTGTGAGGGAGGTGGTAGAGGGGCAATTATAGGGGGACAAAATCAGGGGCCTTTGGGTCTGGCGCCCAAGGCTCGGGCTGTCCCTAATTCACCCCAATCAGCAGGAAATGGTGCTTGAGCAAAAATGCCAAACAAACTGCTTGATAATAAGTTAAAAGATAAAGCATACAAAACAAACAACAGAGACGCTGGAGGTTCCAAATCCTTTCTCCAAGAGAGCAAAAACAAAGAAAATTCCTATTACAAACTGGAGCGTCAGGCTTTCCAATTCCAGACCTTTGCATGTATTAAGCAAAATCAAGAATAAGCATGAAAATATGTTATTTGAATTGCGTTCAAAATGTCTTTTACAAGTGAAGCAAATTACTTCTGCATGTTCTGGGGGCTCTGCAGAGAACAAATAGTGTTCTGCCTTTAATGGGTAAAATTACACAATTTGCTTTTAACAGTAAACCAAAAGCTGCGGTGGCTTTAGATAGTTATCACGCTCCGGAGGGCTCCCTTCACGCAGTACCACTCCAGCAGTTTCTGGGCATTTTGGAGGGACGCGGGCGCAGCGTGGCAAGGAGGGCCGGGAGGGCGCGGTCTGTTCCTTTACTTGAACGTTTCCCTTCGTCAAGCCCTCGCTTCTCTGGCTCCTGAGCGAGACTGGGTAGCTCTCTGATTTGCTCTGGTAGAGGCTGGCGGGACGCCGTGTCTTCCTGAGTTACTGATTTGAGACCAGGGAATCCCGCCCCCTGAAGGTGGGTGCGGCTGGACGCACCCAAGGTGCCACCTTTGCGGCCAAGCATCCGGAGACGTAGGCCCGAGGGCGGGCGCGGAAGGCACGTCCGGGGGCTGAGCGGAGGCCCCCGGTCCCGGGCCCCCATTTCCCGCGTCACGCCTGCCGCAGGCGCGTCCTTCCAGCAGGGGGCGCTGGCGCGGGCCTCGCTCTGCCCACCGGGGCGGGCGAGCCGGGGACCCTGCCTCCAGAGCGCCCGCGGTCCGCCCCTTGCGCTCGTGCCGGCGACCGGCCGGACGCCTGAGCCCGCGTCCCGGAGCCTCTCAGCCAGCCCGAGTCCGCACCGCAGCTAGAGCCGAACGGCGCATCCCGGCCGGGAGAGGAGGCGGACCTCAAGTTCCTCTTAAGGGACCAGCTTGCGAAGCGTCCAGGAGAAAGGGCAGGGGACGCGCGGCCGACAGGAGTGGTGGCTCCCGGCCGCCCGAGCCGCGCCGGCCCCTGCGCCCGGCCCCCACGGCCCGCGGCATGGCCCGGGGCCCGGCGCTGTCGTTGCTGTGCGCCCCGGCCGTCTGGGCGGCCGCCGCGCTACTGCTCTGCGCGCCCCGGAGCTCAGGTAGGACCCGTACACCGGTGGGGCTCGTGGCTCAAGTCCGTCTTACTCAGCCACCGCGTCCGGGCCGCAGCGCCCGTTCGGCCCCGTTTCCGGCCCGCGCCCCGCTGCCAGGACTGCTTCCAATAAGGCGCACTCCGGGGCCGACTAAGTGTTCCAGAGGCCCGGAGGGCGGCGCCTGCGGGGAGACCCTCGCCGGAGGTTTCCGAGGGTTGGGAGTGTGAAGGCGGTGGGGCCCGGGATCTGCAGACGTGGCCCGTGCTTCTCAGGACCTTGACTCGGCCCTCTTCCCCGAGGTTACCTCCGGTGCTCCCGTCTGCGCTGGAGTCCCCCCAGGCCCCGGGAAGCGGGCTCTCGACCCCCGCCGCTTGGTTGAGCAGGGCTTCGGCTTCCCTTTTGTTGGCCCCTTCCCCCTCCCCCACCGCCAGGAGGTGGCCGAAGCGGCATATCTTGTGCCTGGGGTCAGGGGTTCCTGGGCAGGCTTAGGGCTGTTGGGTTCCCGTCCGCATCCCGGGATCCGGGACGAGGCGCGCGGCTGGAGGGACAGGTCAGGCTCCCTGGTGGCATTTTTTTTCGAGGTGGCATTTCTCCACTGTCCCTGGGGTCCCTGTTGGGACTTGGCCTCTTGGACCTCGCGGCGCGCAGGAGCTGCCTTGAAGTTCAGAGGGTGCTGGGGTGCCCGCGGAGGCAGCGCTAGTCCACGCCGTCCACACCCAGGGAGCACCCCGGGCCTGCGTGCCGCCCGGCCAGATTCCGGGCACCCTGCCGGGTGGGGGTAGGCGCAGTGCTTCCAGGTCGGGAAGTTTGTAGACTGAGTTTCGCCTCAAGTCCTAAAACACGTAAGTGGGCTTCAATTTGCCCACCCCACGCATTATGCCCCCACCTCCGCCTTTCTGCAGTCAGGTAAGAATTTGGTGACCCGCGCGGGAAGGGGCCCAGCTCTTCCCGCGTTCTGCTGCCAGTTGCGCGCTTCAGGGACCTGTCCTCGGATTCAGGAATACTGGGCAACCTTTCCTGGCGGGCGGGCGTATGGGTTTAAGCCGATGCTGGTTGTGTCGGACACTTATGGTTCCTTTACTTGGGGAGGGGGTTTGCAGCTATGTAGCTCCACCTTAAAAAGCATAAACCGCTCAGGGCCCGCGGTGAAATAGTGAGTAAACTGGTACATTCGAAGTCAGTCTGGGGGATTCTAACAATATCCCTGTGGATTTCTGCACCCCTCCACCCGCAAGACTCCCTCTCGGTTTGGAGTCCGGGGGTTCTTTTGCAGCGCTGTTGGCAGGGGATAAGGGTGGGTGGGAGGACTTAAACTCTGGGACTCGACGTGCGTTTGCGCAGCATGGGGTTGGTGGCCACTCCGGGGATACTCGCCAACGTGTGGCGTGTGGCGGTTTTAGTTGCATTTGCGGGGGAGGAGGGGGTGCGGGGCGGAGGAGTTGGAGGTGGGCGATGTGGGGAGAGGGTGATGGGTCTGTTGCTTACATCAAGGCAGTACGGAGTCCGGGAAGGTGGATCACATTTCGGGCGGAGTAGCTTAAACATTGCCGTCGTGTTTCCAGTCGAACTTCAGAAATCTCTGAGGAACAAAGCAATCCTGTGCCATTTTCGTTAATTTTTGAACCCTGTGTGGAGGTAATTTTCTTTTTCCAGTAAAATAATCTCTATAGGGGAGGAAAGCTGTTTATAATTCTCTGCTTTCTGGAATGCTAGGTTAGCTGAAAATTCAAAGACTATGATTATATTCAAAGTATGAATCAGTTTTTTGATTACAGGAGATTTGAGTGTTTGGCGTCTTTTTTGCTGTAAGAGGAATCCCTGTAATTTGAGTGTGTTTTATACACGAAATATAAGTTACTGTGTAAAAACACGGAAAGGTTATTTTAAAAGAACGAGTAAGTTCTTATTCTACCTTTTTATAGAAGGCTCTGTTCCCTCAGGAGACAAATACCTGATCTGAGATCGAGTGCCGGCTTCGGCATGATAGTCTGGGAATGGGGGCTTGGGGTCCTCCCCCAGTTTTGACAGTGCAGTGTTTATTTCTGGCCCAGATCCCTGGAGTGATGGTTGTAATAAAGAATGATAGTGATCCATTTGAAAGTAAACGAAAACATCTTGAATAAGAAGACTTTGGAAAAAGAAAAGTTTTTATGTATATAGTAAGGCAACATGTTTTTCTTATTATGACTGTGTACCAAGTAAAGCAGCAGCACACGTTGGAAATGTTTCAGTATTTAATAGTGAGAGTGAGTTTAACCCTCGGGACTACTTGATAAAGAATGCCATCCTGAGACTGAACACTATTGACCATGTGTGACATCCGGTTATGCAGTGGGCGAGACTACTAAGGGTGCTCTAGTCAATGAGGCTGAACCTGCGAGCAGTACAGCCCGCCATTGTTAGAACACTGTCAAGAATTCTGCTTAATAGCTTGCATGCAAAAAAAAGCAACAGTGGTTTAAAAGTGTGCATTTACCAGGGGTAGTTTTTGGTGACAGCGATCTGCAGATTTACTGGGCAATGTGAAATAACACTTCTGTTTTTATTGTGAAACCTTCTTATTGTTAGATCAAAGTACAGCTGTAATTGATGTTTGTATGTCACTGTCTGTTAGGGTGTGATTTGCAGTGAATTACTTGTTCCCCATAAACGTTTAGTCTTGATTTACCCTTGGAGACATTTAAGCCTGGCGGAGACATAATTTTATGCTGCCCTTTCTTTTGGAATCTTTTCCCAGAAATCAATGGGATAGCAATGCAGGAGTAGAGGAGTAGCCCTCTGACAGGTAAAAAAGATTAATCCCCTAAAGGGGGATTTCTAAAGCCAGGTTTCAGTTGAGAAGTGGCACTCCTTTAAAATACATTCCACGGGAGGCCAGGATGTGGAAAATTATCATTATCATTGAAATGGAACTGGGTATGAAAGGCTAGGTCTCCCTAATCTGTAGAACCCTAGCCAGTCTGATTAAGTACAGGAAACTTGTGTGCTCTAGCGTTTTGCCCTGTGAGAGCTCTAATTATATAATTCCAAGTTGTAGTCAGGGAAAAGAAAGTGGGCTACTATGTGTTACCCCCACCCAAGGTTTGTAACCATCTTCTAAAACATTCGTTGATGCCAGAGGCCTTTGGTGTTTACCTGGTTCATTCCTCAAGAATCTGGAGGGAGACCAGTAGCGTTCCCCCCTCCCACCCCAATCTGTGGTTACCACATGGAGAAGGGCTAGGTTTCAAAGCTTTAGATTTACCCTGCTGTGCCCCGGTGGTGGGGGTGATAGGGGGACAGTATCCTTACAGGTTGTGACTCTGTAAGTTGTCATTAAGATATTTCTTTCTTTGGGGACCCTCGGGTGACCACCAAGTGTATATCATCCATGAAAGGTTTCAAAGCAAAGTGAGGAGGGCTTTGCTTTGCAGAGGAAGCATTCATTCATTGCTGTGCAGGTCTGCATTTTGTGTGGCCAGTAACAATTTCCTGAAAGGACCATTGGTCTAAAAGGACTGGTTCTGAAACATAGCTTCTCAGTGACCCTTTGTGTTCTTTGGTTTTGTGTTGTTCCACTGCAGCACTGAAAAAAATGTTAGGAGTTCCATGGGTAGTGAGGGCTTCTTGAGTTTTCAAGTCAAAATCTAAGCAATAAGAGGCTCTGGCCCACTAATTACGGCTGCAGCCGGCTGGGTTTGCACCAGCCTCCTCCTTTTGGTATGTGTTTATTTGGTTTGGTCCGGAGCTTGCCAAGTTGGAAATAAGGGTGAGATGGCATGTGTAGTTGTCATAAAATACGTCTGAGGTGTGATCTGCTCAAAATCACATTAACAGAGTAGTCAAGGAATTGTTGAACATGTTGGAAATTTTCAGAAAGCTTTTCAAAACTAGGCAAATTGTGTTGGTGTGGTTAGCACCATTTTGGGGCTTTCTGGCCTTTTTATTTTCCTTTTTCTTTTTTTTTTAATATTGTTAATTATTTTTTTAAAGGATTTTTATTGGGGGATTGGGGAATGGGAACAGCGCTGGGGAATTGGGGGAAGGGGAACAGACAAGTTGCTGACCTTTTGTTCTTCAGTCTAGTTGTGGAGGACGTCGCTTCACTGGCCCAAGTTGGCACCATCATTGTGCTCTTCCCGGGCGAGGCAGATCAGTCG